TTGAATAAAATGTCCAGTGAAGCCAGCTTTCAACTAAGCTAGCGCCTGTCTTATCTTATTTACAATGGTACGGTCAATGCGTAACTGTGTGTCATAAATTATGATTAATACAAGAGCAACAATTAATTTCGTTTGATTGTTCACATGAATATAATCAAAATAACTTTCTCCGCCACGACTGTTAGACACGTATACACCAAACTGACCTTTGTATTTTGAACTGTTGCGATGAACATTTTTTTGCATAAGTATAAAATAGAAACAAATGGCCTCCATTAGATAAAAAAAAGAAGAAGAACAACAACCCGTAGATTTTTCGATGTGCAATTTTCGGTTGCATGAAATGTAAAATGTTGGAAGTCAAATTAAGTGAAGAGAACCATATATATGCTAAACATTTTTCAGTTCGTGAGTAAATATTAATGGTTGTCACGCAATAATTTAATATTATGTCGGATATTCAATGAGTTTTTGTTCAAGCATTCGGCCATTGTAATGTTTCGACCATTTATAATTATACTTTTGCTTCGAATGAACAACATTTCAATGCACAAGAGAAAAATAATAATAAATTTTGAACATCTTTCAGAAAGATATATCTGTATTGTATTGTTATGCTAACAAAATAAACATGACATGAATCATTTTGTTCCAAAACTTTTATCAAGATTCAACATCGCAACAAAAAAAAAAACAACAAACGTTGATATGAATTTTTCAAATGAAAAAATAATTTCAAACAACTTTGCCTAAATCAGAGATCCAATTTCAGATGAATTCGGAGAGTAACGTAGGTCATCCCAAAATGCCACACCGTGTCTAGACAATTTCCAAAATCGAAACAAATCGTATCGTGGATTAATTAAGAATTTGAATCGAAACCACTAGAACTTACTGTCTTTTTTATACAAATGAAGTTAATTTATCAAGATCAATATTTTTCTTTTGTGTATGTATTTGGAATTATTTTTTCGTATTATATTGCTGCCAGAGGAAGGTTAGAGAATGTTCGGTTAAATTCGCCAAATCACCACAAAAGATGTTTGGTTCGGCTTTTTATTGAAACTTTCTGAACCAAAAAGAAAAATAGTATTTGGATCCTTGATTAGTCAACTTAAATGTTGAGTTCGCGTGGAATTTGAGACGAATCCAAAATCACAACCGACAAATTCATTCGCCTATTTGGTAATTTATTGATTTAGGCAAAAGTATAAGTTTCTTTTCTTTCGCTGCGTTTCTTCTTGTTTACAACTTCATTTCTTGTGGTGTATGTGTGCATGAATAATATATAAATATGATTGCGAATTCTGATTACTATTTGCGTATGCAGATTCAAAAACCGAATACAACAAACAGTAACGGAAATCATTTTGCTCGTCTGTTTTGTTTGTTTTCTTTTGATTTTAAATCGTTTTAAAGATTTGGTGCTCAGCCTAATTCCGTACTCCAAAAAATATTTTTTGCGGCTGGATTTTACTGTTGAATTTGAATAAGATCATTACCGATGAAGTTTTTTGAGCTGTTAATGAGATAAAGACTTGTGTGTGTGTCAGAGAAAGACAGCGAGAGCGAGAGAGAGCGAAACTGGAGTGAGAAAAAATAAACTCAAATTACTCAAATTGGCGAACAGTTATAAATTTTCGCTGGTCTTTGCGAATAACAAATTGGTAAAACAGTTTTATTCGCTTTCCAAAAGTCGGTGGAAAAAAAATCACGGATTTTATAAATGCGCTTTTGAAACATTCTATCTCAATTAACCACAATTTTAGAATTGGATTGCGACTTATTGTCGGAAATTTAAGAGAGTTGTACGTGTGTCTGCGTCAGAGGAAACAGAAAAGGCCTTTAATTTCTTCACAATTTACCACAAGGTAAATAACAACATCATTTATAATCGATGCCGGAACATGAGACCGTGTAGTTGTCAGGTTAATCAAATCCGATTCGTTTGCGCGTGGATTTTTTTTCATTTCAAGTTTAAAATAATTAAATAGTCAATTCGTCAAATAAATTAAAAGGTTCCGACCGAGGGTCACATTACGCCGAAACATTTTCGAGTTTTTTTTTGGTCAGCCGAATGGTGAATGTGCAAACAATAGGCTTATTCTCCCATTCTGATTTAATATGAATGGATGAGCTAGCGAATTCAGTTCCACTGTGATCGAATTTTTTTTTAGAAAGTTCCATATACATTCTATCTTTATTCAATCGAAAGATATGAAGATATTTTCAAAACATTTCATAGATTTCGTATATACATTCTATTTTACACTGAAATTTTGTTTTTGTATTGTGAGCGATTCAAAATCCAAGTGATAAGATCAAAGTGAATATCAAATGGCTTCTTTTGGCGCCCGATGTCTGTATGATTGCATCGGATGTATTTTGATTGGCATTGAACTTATTAGTTATGAATGATGCATGCAAATCGATCTTTCAGGCTACTTTAATTATGAATGTTATTTGCTTTGATATAACAATTTTCCCATCCCTCTCTCTCTCTCTCTCTCTCTCGCTCTATTCTCAGCTTATGGAGAAATAAGAAAAAAAATCCCTGTAATTGAGGAAGAAAAACGTAAAAATCATTGGCAAATAGTCGATGTTGAATGGTTTTATCGGTTAGTTAAATAATAAAAAAAAAATAAACAAAATAAATGATGGTGTCCATTTTCAATTCCTGCCCAATGATAGCATAATACCATTCGTTGTTCTCTTTTATTGATCTCGATATCTTTTGGAATGAGTTCAACTATTTAACGGTTTTATCACAAAATATGCACCTTATTGCTGTATGTGTGTGTGCATGGTGACTGTGTTGTTCTGTGAACAATAGAGAATACAAGACTACATAAATTGCATACAAGATGCTGTTGGAGCCAAATAACAAGCAAAACAAAGCGAACGCTATTAACTCCCCAATGAAGGGGCATTAAAGAGATTTACTCATTGATTTGGCATACATTCGAACCACGATCCAAAGAAAAGAAGAACAAAAAAAAATCGACAACTTCGTTTTATTATTGTTGGTTTTATTCGTATGCACATAAGTAATAGTGATAACGAAATCTGATCTTTTTCTCTTAAACGATGTTTGTCTGTGTGCGTGTTTTTTTTTCCTTTCCTTCTTGGTGCTCGACGGGATAAACACAAAAAAAGTGCCAATTTACTTATTGCTGTACCGATTCCGTTAGCTGCATTCCGTTAGCTATATATACATATCGAGTCCAAATTGTGGAGTTTATGTTCAATGCGGCATATCTGGGATATATGTATATTGTATATATGCATACGTTTCAGATAGTGTGAATGGGTATTGTTCCAATTGCACATAAGAAAATATCGACTTGAAACGAAATGTAGAGAAAAAAAAAAACACAATTCTGTTTACATCTAAAATAAATTGACTTTTAGTGAACGTTGAATGCGGCACAATGATTTTGTTTTTCGGTGTGTGTATATATGTTGCCACGTTTTCCAATTCCGATGATTATGTTATTCAGTGATGTTAGAATGCATGGCTGGATGGATGAATCTCGTAAGTTACGAGTTGGAACTGCATACAAATGCACAATAAAGAAGAGAAATGCATACGGCCATGTCAACAACTGTACAGGTTCATTCAAAACTCGTTTGCAGCAGCAACGGCATCGCCATCCAGCCAATAGAAACAACAAAATTGTATTCATTTCGTTCTAGGCTCGCTTCGATCAAGCTTCGTTTGCTACATGTAATTGTCTATTTCGATTCGTGTTTTCGTGTATATGCTCCTAGTTATACAATCTGGATGCGGTTGTGTGACGACGGCACAGGCAAATTGGCATTGGCGTTGTGTAAAATGGTATCGAATTCAAAATTAAAATGAATAACATTACCATGCTACTCATATACATGAGACTTTTTCTCTCTCTCTCTCTCGCTCTCACGAACTATCGCGTGTGCCTTTTTTTTCTTATTTCGATACATATATTTTTGATGCAACAAACGGTATTGCTCTTTCTCTAACGATTTTGTCAGCAAGTAGAACATGAAACACGCAGTCACACAACAACAGGTGAATGTAAATAGCAACGGAAAAAAATCAGCTGTGATCAGTGAACGCTATAAAGCTTTTCTTAAACAATACAACGGAAAAATACCTTTCCCATTTCTTCCTCTGGAAATACCAAAAAATGACATAAGATATACCAATGTATTAAAATTATTAGTGCTGCGCTATGGTTCTCTCACTCATTCGTATTTTTTTTTTTGGGTTCGTTTTGCGCTGCTGCACGAATAAATCTTTGATAAATCGAGTTTATAAAGTCAGCATGAGAAAATCAGAAAATCACAATCGAAATATCAGCCGAAATGAGAATGGCTCACATTGCTGAAAACCATGAATGAAAACGATGCAAACACATGAATCTATAATAGAATGTGAACATTCCCAAAGTTTCTTTTTTTTCGTGTGTATTTTTGCATGTGATTTTTTATGCATCAAATACCCGAATTTATCTCATACCGAATATTCAAGCATCGATTGAAAATACTTTTATAATGTGATCTATGTGGTGCTGCCATAGTTGTCTTCTTTACAGCTATCGTCGATTCGACTTTGGTGCCAGTGCGTGAGCGAGCAACTACGAATAATTCTCAAACCGCATTTTTCCTCTCTCTCTCTCGCTCGACTCTTTTGAATTGCAATCTAGCGGAAATGCTCTATGGTATTTATTTTAATTATTCTCATTGTTGAAGCGAACTGGTTTTTTATTAATACATTACAATTTCTGTGTATGCTGACACCGGCCATTCGTAATTTTTTTTTTTCATTTATAATTATTATCATTCACATTATCGGCATTGTGCAAAATTACAATAATCGTTCAATCAGTCGTTTCTCTCTTTCTCTCTCATTCGATTGGAATGCATTATGAAAATGAAATTTGACATAATAATAAACTACAACCGCACCGGCCACCCCAAAAAATTAAATGAAACGCATTTTATTCGCATCGATTTACCGTTTTATTTCTGGACGGGTGTCTCTCACTCTCTCTCTCTCTCTCTCTCTCTCTCTCTCTCGGTGTCTCACTTTCTACCGTGTATAACAACAGCGAAACGCACGCACTCAATGTTTTATTTACATGAAACAACAACAATTCTTTTATTGTGTATGACATGAAAAATACGAGCTGTTTTATTGTCGAAAATGTCGGACGTTTTTTTTTGTTTCGCGTAATTTTTATCGTAATTTATGAGAAAATGACAACACTGTGTTACTGAAATACGGAATATTTTTTTTGATTCATATGTGTCAATAAACCGGCATATATGCGGTAAAATAACAACTGCTTTTTAAAAAAATGTATCACTTATTAACAATATATTAAATTTACTCAAAAGAATAACTGCATAACATTCGTTGTTTCACCAGAGGATGTTCAAAACAAAAAAATATATATTCCCGCATAAAATGATTGAACAAAAACACTGTTCATCAACCGCATTTGACGATGAAAATGAAGATAAAAGCTGATTAAAGCCGAAGCTAAAAAAATATCAACGTCAATTAATGTGCAGAATAGTTTTGCATCTCTCACACAAGAAAACTACGCGAATACTGACACTGTGAGATCTTTTACGTTTGTTACCTCCGCAGAATCCGGTGCGCTCTGCAACAACAAAAACAACAACATTAATAACAAACGGCGAGAGAAAAAAAAAACACACACACACACACCTACATAAAGACAGAAAGAGCGTATGCACAGCAAAAACCGCAAACGAAACGAAAAGCAAAAGAATTTATAACTCGTCTATTAGATTGTACTGTGTGTACCTGTGAGTATTATGTCAATACACTTTTGTAAGATACCATTGTATTCTTGTCAGAGTGAGCGAGAAAGATACGAAATAAATTATTAAAAAAAAATGATAAATAGCGAGCGAATGGAAGTGAAATAGACACACACACAAGTAAAAGACAGAGAGAACGGGTGAGCGGGCATACAAATGACAAGCGGGCAACACATCCGATATAATTTATCTGGTGTTGAACGTAAGCAGTAAAATGGATAAAAATGGATTGTAATATTGATGATGATGAAGAAGACGAAGACAAAAATGAAAAGAAGAGAAAATGCCGCACAATATAAAGCAAGTACAATAAAAAAAGAGTTGAATTGTATAAAAATTCGTGCATAGTTTATTCTCAGTACACACTAAAAAAAAAATCACGCCGTGAACCTCTCGTCGTTTGAGTTTTTGTTCTTTCTCTTTCTTTCTCGCTCAGACGCTATTTTTCGTCTTCATTCGCCACAAACGCTCACACTCTCTTTGTATGATATAAGACACTTTGATTGTGTTTGTTCTTTTTTTCTTCTCCTTTGGTTTTATTGTATACAAAACCAATTACATGTATTTGATAGAGAAGAATTTAATGCCGGCAAATAATATGTTCGGCAATATGGACCTATATTGGTAGCATATTTATCAACATTTATGCATTGTCGTTGTTGATAGCGATGAGAACTTCAACAAAACACAACGACGAAATCACTCTTAAATCATCGCATTTAATTTCGATGTTTTTTTCTTCGTTCCATTTTGGATTTGAGAAAATGTGCACTCAACAAGAAGTATGTCTGTGTATGAATGTATTTATTTGATAGAAGCAAGAATGGCAGCGATATCGTTTGGAAAATTTGTTGAAACAGTTAAAATGTGTATGTAGAATGCATGTTCACATGACTGGTCCTGCAAGCAATACCATTCAAATTATTCCGAATAGCTAATTTATATTACAAATGTAAAATCACTGACTGTATACCTCTTGAAATTCGTTTCATGTTTTGCATCGCAGTTTCTTTCACCCGCAGAGTTCATTCTCTCTTTTTTTTTAACGTTTCCACTTGCGAGAGAGTCATAAATGCTTATATATATTTTTTTTTGTGAACGAATTCACCAACCATTCGACACAAAAATCGACATAACAAGAAATTCAATCCTCTAAAAAGTCGCTGAATCGAGTTATTTGGTCGAATTACAAGAGCATTACCAGTCTGGTAATACCAGATCGGCGGTGACACCCACGATGACCACGTACCAAATATCATTAACATTCTGCAATGCAAATTGCGTATAATTTAATCGCGTACAATTGATGAACTACTCAAAAGTGTAGAAGCAAAAAAAATACACGATAGAGAGTCTTTATCGTTTTCGGTCTTTTCTAGTAAATTTATTCACATCAAAGCAACGAGAGAGAACGAGTGTACACAAAGACACCGTCGCGACAGTAGTCGACCGATTTTTTTTTCTCTTCTCAGATCAAAATTAAGTGGCGCACTAAGTGACTTATAATACGAAATTCAACGTTGATTAATTGTCTGCACACATATTCGCACATATATTCACATAGCTTCACCATGCGTGTCACATTTGAAGTGCGTTTGAAACATTCTTTCAAAGCCTATTCATGTAAAATGAACACCAAATTAAAAAAAAGGTGCAGTTTAGAGAGCGAGAGAAAAAAACAGTATTGGGTTCTGGTTTCGTGTAAGATACGAGTGTTGTGTGTATTCAGTGCAAATTTGATAAGCCCCCCGTTTCATTTAAATGATTTTGATAACGGGACTGTACGACAGACAAATTATGCAAATATTATAGCATTTTTGAAACGGTAACTGTGCAAACCAAAATTGCGGTAACAATTTAACAACATTCCCACAAATTTCCAAAGCATATTTCTCACAAAACGGCACCAGTGCTAATGCGGAAAAATTAGCGACAAATAAATACAAATCAAAACAATGCCAGATAACCAACCACAATTATCGATCGATCGGCATAATTTATCTGATAAATTGATACATTTCGGTTTTGTGACATTTATTGAAAATGGTATGACACATTACGTACTATTTTAGATGCGCTCAATAAATGTCACAAATTCGAAATGTATCAATTTAGCTGATAAATTATTCGGATGTATCGAATATAAGCCCTGCTAAAAACAGATTCGCAATTTGTGAGCATCTGGAACGAAAATTACAATAAAAAAAACACTTGTTATGCAAATTGATAATTTTGCGTGCGTTCTTCTTCATTCTCATTCGAAAACTACCGATGTTAATCTGTAAGTTGCAAGTTTTCTTGGTTCTTAATTTCTTTAATTTTCTGCAATCAGCATTAGAATCACTTAGTTGAAACGATCGACTGACTCTTATGAAGAAATTCATGGTTCTTTATTGTGTAGAAGAAAAAAAAATAGCGACCATGGTTAAAATTTGAGTAATATTTATTATGTCGAGTTTAAATTGTTTTAGAGTTTCTTTTATTTCATTTATTTGATGATTCAATATGAATGAGCATATCATTTAATCGTTTGTTTTTTCATGTTTTAATTGGAGCTCCAAGTGAGGTAAATATCAGACAATATATTGAATTAACTGGTCAGTTGAGCTGACAGTACGTTAGCCAGCTAAATGGGCTAAGACAATAGACGTTATTGTTTTAATGATGAATCACTTTTCTTGTTTTAATAGAAGTGATTGTTCATTAAAACAATAACTTCTATTGTTTTAGTCCATTTAGCTGGCTAACGTACTGTCAGCTCAACTGACCAGTTAGTTCAAGATATTGTCTGGTAAATATAGAGAAAGTATTGTGGTATTGGTCATTTTACGAAATAGTAATATGAAGCTGTGATAGAACTGAATTTATATTTGGCCGCCTATGTCTGTGATTTAAAAATGCATAGACCTCATATTTTCAGAAGTAATTAGCACACATAAGATTAGATTAGATTAAATTTATTTCTCCGCAAATTACTGGTTGAACTTTGGTTTTTTTACAACAAATATTGTTTTGTAAATTTAATTAACCCTTAACCGGGCAGCTCAAAATACTAACGTTATTGGGCAAGTGGGGCCTCTGAGGCTCCATGCAAATTCAATAAAAAAAACTTTTTTTTTCTTTATTGAAATTTAAAATGAATTTATACGACGAAAATTATAATAGATATTGAATTAAATATGTTTTTTTGTAAACTATAACTGAAAAAATGAAAAAATAATCAATATTTATTCCGAATCGGATAAATTTAAGTTTCAGTTCAGTAGTTGTTTAGTACAAATTTTGCACTTCATTTAAAAATGTTGTATTTGCACTTCATTTGTATGGAAAATGTACGTCCGTTAGTTGTTCAAACCTCAATACAACGCTACTTAGGGAACCAAATTCAAAAAAACTTTTATCAACGATTAGTAGAAGAATGAAAGTATATTACAAAACAATTTGTTTGATCAAAATAATATTTTATGCGATTTTATGTATCTTTTTTTTTAAATGCGCTACCGGGCCCCAGAGGCGTGACCTCCTCGGTTAAGGTTTATAATAAGTGTAACTTCATTTAAAGTTAAAAGCTGTAGAAAAATTATTAATCTCAATTAAATAGGTGAAAAAAAATAGTTGGATAGGTATAAATATTTAAATATAATAAGAATTTTTTTTTCATATGTATTCTTGAAGTATTTTTTCTCAATTTACTAGATGAATTTGCGAATCTCCAATTATCATTGGGTCATCAAAATGGTAAAGCCAAGAGATCACCCGGTCGTTTTCATCATCCCAAGAGCAAAGCGATTGCAATAGAATTGCACCGATTATCGGAGAAATGTAATCTCCAAAAGAACCATTCACAATAGCATGGAACAATATGCACGCTTTGGATCTCACATCGGTTCGTGCGGTTGACAAAACAGCCTTTTAAAATGGTTCGTAATCAAGCAGTTATGGTAACTCGGCGAATCAACGCTATCCAATTCGACGATGAAAATCACGAAACATGTGTGATGTCCAGACACTCACAAACTGATTGCGGTTATCATGAAACGTCCCCTATCTTTCATACAAATCACAAAGAACTCGAGGCGATCGATACAAAAAGCATGTAGGTTGCATACCAAAACCAATTGTTAGATCGTTTTTTCACTGATTTCTTCAACTCATCATTTTGAAGTTAAGTTAGTTAGTCAATTTAATTCAAATTCTCATCTCTTTTTTGTTTCATTGTGAATACGACTGAAACTACGCAAAAATACAGCCTCAAATTCAATCGTGAATTGGATAACATCAACAAAAGTTCGCGAAAAATAAACAAATTCGGTGGATAAAATGGAGTTGTCAAAGTTTGTCATCATTTTCACACAACCGCAAATTTTTGACCATAATTCGGTCAACATTTTCTGCTGATGCAATAAAAACTATGACTGCCATCAGACTCCTTAATTGCGATAACGAATTTTGTTTTTCATTTTTGTTGCACACTGTTTGGGAAACACTTTCCGAA